TGTCTTCTTTGATATAAGGAGAGCAACTAAGAACAGAGTAGGGAGGAAGAGCATGAGAAAAAGATTAACATTAAACAGGGACGAGAGGTGGGAGGGAAAGGGAGAGAGAAGGGTAATTGATGGAAATGGAAGGAGACCCTCACTGTTATACAAAATTACATACAAGAGGAAGTGAGGGGAAAGGGGAAAAAAAAAAAAAACAAAGGGGAGAAATGAATTACAGTAGATGGGGTAGAGAGAAAAGATGCGAGGGGAGGGGACGGCAGGGGGGATAGTAGAGGATAGGAAAGGCAGCAGAATACAACAGACACTAGTATGGCAATATGTAAAACAGTGGATGTGTAACTGATGTGATTCTGCAATCTGTATCTGGGGTAAAAATGGGAGTTCATAACCCACCTGAATCAAATGTGTGAAATATGGTATGTCAAGAACTATGTAATGTTTTGAACAACCAACAATAAAAATTAAAAAAAAAAAGAATGTAAAGTCCCTGGAAAAAAAATAAAAAAATAAAAAAGCAAAAAAAAAAAAAAATTATCTCAGTTAAACTTTGCAATAACCCCATGCGTTAGCTATTATCATTGTCCTTTTATAGATGAGCAAATGAAGGCTCCTCAAAGGCAGGTATTTGTTACTGCCACTTGACAGAGAGCAACTTGCCACTTTCAATTGCTATTAAGCGGAAATGCTTGGGTTTAGATATGATCTATCTGACTCCAAAATCAATGCCATTAGCCACTATACTAACCTGAAGTGAAAGTGGTGGTTTGAGGCAAATTTAATATAGCTTGGTAAACCAATTACATATGGAAAGGTAAAGAAAGGAATGCCTTGCAGGAAATTAGGTGTCATTCTTTCAAATACAGAATAACAGTATGAAGGGAGGTTTGAAAGGGGGCACTGAAGAAGAAAGATGATGACAATTTCTGGATATACTGAACTTCAGGTAATTACAGATGCTTAAGTTATACAGTGGATAGGATGAAAATTGAGGCTGCAGGGAGGTATTTAGTTTTCAAATTTCTGTAAGTGAAATTTTAAAAAGTCTTGGGACACGTACTGCTAAGGCAAAATGGAATTACAGCTAAGAGTGTAAGCTCTGGAATCAGACTGCCTGCATTTAAATCCTTACTCCAACACTTACCAACTAGAATCTTGAGCAAGTTTCTTATCTTTAATACTCAGTTGCCTCAATATTAAGATAGTGTCAATAAAATAACCTACTTCATAGTGGATCCAAACAGACAATGCAAGTAAAGCACTCAGCTTCTTATCTGTGCTCAATAAATGCTAGTTATTTTCTGAGGATAAAGCTTACATCAACATTTTAGGTTGGTAGGGAAAGAAAGGCAGCCCCTGAAGAATATAAACGGGAGTTGTCAAAGACTGGGAAATCGGGAGAAGCTGAAATTAAAGAAAATATGTGAGTTTCAAGAAGAAAATAATAACTAACAATGTCAAACGCTAAAAAGGAAAAGTTATGAAAGGGAAGGACTTCAAAGCTAAAGGAAACTAAGCCATATATGTCTTCTGGAAGACTAGTTTCAGAGAGGTGGAGGGGGCAAAAGGGAGTGAAAGCTGAGAAGAGAAGCAATGTAGACTCTTTTTGTAATAAAGCTGGCTTGTGGAGGAAAGATAATAATTAGATTAGTAATTAGTGACAGGTAATAATTAGAGGGAGGAGGCTGGGGGGATTACTTTATTTTTAGATGAGGAGGGAAAGGAGGTATGAGAGAGGAAGATGCTGGAAATATAGAAAGAGAGAAGCTGTTAGTGGACTAGAGTACCAGAAGACACAGAAGAGAGAGCTCAGGGCATAGGTAAAAATGGAAGAAATATGGACTGGACCTGGGACACAATTCCACTGAGACAGGAAAAAAAAAAAAGAAAGTAAAGGTAGATGCAATACAGATACGTTTTTAGATGATATTAGCCAGAAAATTGAGGCATTCCCACTTCCTAGCCTCTATCTTCTTTATGAAATCATCGCTACTACCATCACTGTTGTTGTCACTGTTGCTAATATGCTAATAATTTAGGATTTTCCAAATCATTTACTAACAAACACTGTTATTGTGTGCTAGGCATTGTGTTGGGTTCCAGATGAACAGCAAACATTATTCAACTAACCCCCATGAAAAATTTCTATTTAAATTTATCTTAAAAATATTTACATATATACATTTTTGTTTTTGTTTGCACTGGGGATTAAACCAAGGGGCATTTTACCACTACATTTACTACATTTTCTAGTCTTTCTTATTTTTTATTTTGAGACAGGGTCTTCATAAGTTACTGAGGTTGACCTTGAACTTGCAATCCTCCTGTCTCAGTCTCCTAAATAGCTGGGACTACAGGAATGAGCCACTATGCTGGCAAGACAGATATTCCTGTTATCCCTATTTTGCCCATGAGGAGAGTGAGGCTTACGGAGGATAAGAAACCTATTCGTACTATCGCACTGCAGAGCAAGGGGAACTACTCACATTGGCTAACTCTGGAGTCTAAATCTAAACCATTAATCAGGTAAGGATGACTGAGCGCCAGTATAGTGGGAGAAGTCTTTGGGGACTTGAAAAGAAGAGAAAACTTTTTAGACTATCTGCACAGGGACAAAAAGAAATTGAGATTACATATGTATTAGTTGCACAAGGAGGATTATACCTTCAGAAGTCCTAATTTTCATTTTGATGAGGTACACCAACATTAAGGGAAGAAATGCTTCTATGCCTTGGGTATATTTAGTACACCATATGACTGAGTATCAAATGATGCTCTTTCCCCTTTAAATGAAAAAAACTACATCTAACAGTAGGTATTCAACAGATCCGAGATGAACAGTGGACCTTCTCCCATAATGAAAACACTATCATTGTTTTTTCATTGATAATTATATTATTATTGTTTGGGCTCTGACTATTGCTTTCCCTCCAAATAACCTGAAGTATTTTAACATCTGTCATTTCATAGTTTAAGATCTCTTGAGATAAGGCCATTTTTAGATGGAGAAAATCTCATAAAGGTAAAATTATTTAACCAAAATCAGATCAAGAATGACAAAGACAGGGGGAAAAAAAACAGTGATTCTCAGCTCAGGACTACGAAACTTCCTGATTCAACATTTGCCACTCCTCAATCTGAACCCCACACTCCTCCTCTGGAAAAGTATACCCTAGATTCAGGGATGTTGATTATATACAAAAATATAGCTCAGTGTTAGTAATATTTCCCCCCTCAAGAAAACTACTCTAAAGCTGACTACAGCCTAATCATAAAACATAAAAAGTTTTTAAGAATTTTGCAGAAGGGACTGAATCATTCTCTTGAATACAGGAGGGATGTGATAAATATTTGCCAAATGCATTATTTCTGAAGTTCTTAAAAACTAAGACTTCTGAGGAAAAAGGGCAGAGAACAGGTGTGTAAATAGGCCTGTAAGAGTGAGATAATTCCCAGGCCCCAGGCAGGTGACTTGGCTGCATCCCAAACCACTATGGGAGCAAAAAAACAAAAAGCTCAGCCTAGCACACAGCCTCCAGAAGAGTGAACAAGAGGACTAGGGCTGAAGGTACAATCACAGCAGGGACCAAATCACAGAACAACAGCCTTCTGGGTCTCTGTGGTGCATTTTTTAACCAGCTAATTTACATTCTAATCAAAGGAGGAGGAGAAAATGGCCCATTTCTTTCCCACAACACCAGAAGGTAATCAAGATCATGAACTGGAGCTTTAATACACAGAGAGAGAATAGCCTGTGATTGCAGTGAGACAGAGCACGGTGTCATGGGAAGAAAAGGCCACAGACTTTTATTGAACTGTTCTCATCTACTAACCCAGAGGCATACAGGGAGATGAGGAGAGCAGAGGGAAAGTGGATTTTTAGGCACTCTTCCTGTGTAGAAGGCACGATAAACTAAAAAGAGCTGTAAGTCTCCCCAGGATGTGTTAGGAATGCTCATGATAGAATCTATTGACTATATAATTTTTTCCCCTCCCAATTCTAACAAAGCTTGGGGTATTAACCTCTGGAAAGTCACACAAAAATTCAAAGTTCTCTATTTGACTTAGACAATAATTCACTAAATCAATGATTTATAGAAACCAGCGAAGGTTTCTGGAAATTACTCCATATTCTTCAACTGGGGTATTTATAAATAATAAGCTTTGCTTTTTCAATGAAGATACAGCTGTGGGAAGCAAATCAAAGAAAAATGAAAAGAGCGTCGTGGTGTAAAGCCAAATCTCAAAATGCAGCATAAAGAAATGAATAGATAATACTGGTTTGAGAAAAAAGTCACCAATAACTAGTTGATTGAAACCTGGTGAAATCAAGATTTATATATCCAAATGATTCTGGATAATAAAGAATAATTTCTTCTAGTTTTTGTTTGAATGGAAATTAATATAAAGATTCTGAATAGACTCTAATAAGGAAAAAAACTTAATAGCCACTTGTAAGCTTGATTGAAGGATCGTATGAAAAGCATTGTGCAATTGTTAACCTACAAATAACTCCCTAAAAGAATAACTAGGTTAGTATATCCTCCCATATTCACAAAATAGCTAAAGGCAGGCTAGATTTTTCATTCCTCTTCCCACTTTTCCTCCAAAAGCTGCACTAACACCTAACCTCCCCACCAAAGAACCTCATCCTTCAATATACTCCTCTCATCACTAGTTCCACACTTCAAAAAGGGTAAAATTTAGCCTTAGATATTAAAAGACTTTGCTTATCCTCCCTTTGTATAATTCACCAAGAATCTGATGCTGATCAAAATGTCAACAACCCAGAAGGTAGTTCTAAATCCCAAGTGAGAAGCAAGGATGAAATATGACTACAATGAATCAATGAGAAACCAATATTCCAACACAAGGGTCAAGCATCAGAAGGCTTCTTCCTCCCACTTTCTCAAATCCACAATCCCCAAGGCAGTGCCTTAATTCCAGAGCCCCCAGGACTATCACTAACCTTAAGGGCAACTACATCAGGTACTTACTTGTCTTGGAAAATGTCCTGAGCAGTTACTTGATCCTTTTTCTTGATGGCTTCAGTCAGAGGGAAAAGGTTCTTTATTTTAGAGAGAGGAATCTGACATTTTGCTGTCACTTCAGTGGGGGGCTCTAGCATATTCAAAATATGTTGCTGAATTGGGGGCAGAGGCTCTTGAGGATGTAAAGCTCTGTGCAGCAGACACTGTTGGGGAACGAGAACACAAGTGGAAAGTTTGCAAATGTGTTCTTTCTATATTACAATCAGGGATACTCCATCTTTGGTTTGGGAGGGATACTTGACTCACACCAGACATAAGAAACAATAAAGTTTGGCCCTTAACCACTTTTGTTAGCAGGACACTGGACATGTCTTAAACCAACCGAGGAAATAGGCCCACACTGAGTAGTAATTCCTTCTACTAGAAAGTAGTAGACCTCCTAGAAAGTAGTTTCATCTTATAAAAAGACACAGTCGCTTTTAACTACTTGGGGAAAATGAGGTTCTGACAATCTGGGATTATAACCTTCTCATCACAAACCTTTTAACACCCCCTTACTCATTCTGCACTTGCTCCTTCACTCACTCTTAGAACTCAATGTGTGGTGGATCAAACAGGTGACTAAAGGAGAGCTGCCCAAGATCAAAGAGTCCCAGGAGGAAGGCTGTGAAGGAAACGAGAACCCTGAGTTGCCCCAAACCTCCCAGGAGAGTGGAATGTGAATGCATCTCCACCAGTCTGTCCACCTCTCTTCTCTGTCCTCACAGTCACCACTCTGGCCAGACACCAACATCCCTCCTCTGGCCTACTACCATCACCTTATAACTGGTCACCAGGCTTCTGCTTGAAAATGAATTCCTTACCATATCCCAGAAGTCCTACAATGACCGCAGCACCAACCCACCTCCGCAGTCTTGGTACCTGCCACTTCTGACTCACAACGCAGCAAGGCTGGGTTCTTCAAGTTTCACTCAATCCAAGCTTGTTCCTGCTTTTGGGTCCTGGGCTTAATATTCCTGCCTCTTCTGTCTCCCCCAAGAGAGGTGGCCTTTTTTTTTTTTTTTTTTAAAGGTACTGGGTATTGAACCCAGGGGTGTTCTACCACTGAGCTACATGCCCATCCCAGTTTTAACTTATTTTGAGATAGGGTCTTGCCAAGTTGCCCAGGCAGCCCTCCTGCCTCAGCCTTCTGAATTGCTAGATTATGAGCACATTCCACTACCTACAATTAGGATTGGCCCTTGCTTTAAATCATCCTAGTCTTTACTGAAGTATTATCTCCTCAGAAGGGCTTTCCCTGATGCCGTATATAAAGTAGCCCCTGCACCCCCTTCCTACCACCTCATCACATTCTATCATTTTCCTTATTTTATATTTTTGATAATATTTACAATCTAAAATCACCACATCATTTTTTTAGTTTAGTTGCTTATTGCCTAGAACTCTGCCTTGAATGTAGGGATTGTGTCTAGTTTACAGCTAAATTCCAAGAACAAACATCATGCCTGGCATATAATCAGCACCTGACAGAAGATGAATGAAGAAGTACTCTTTCCCAGAGCTCTTGCTGTTAATGGAGTGGGGCAAGGCTCAAGGGACAAGGGACAAGGCAGGGTTTCACATGCATGGAATTGGATGGCAAGCCACTTCCATCCAATAGCCCCATGCTGCCTACAGGCAACTATACCAGGCTTTGGAGGCACCCATGTCTTCAGGAAGGCAAGCAATGAGATATTATTAAGAAAAAAAAAAAGAAAAGAAAGAGCTCATCTGATATTTCCTTGGTGTGGCAAATAAATTCAAAATTATGCTAGAGAATAAGCTTCATTTCTTTCTTTTTTTTTTTTTTTTTTGCCATACAAGGGATCAAATCTAGGGTTTCACACATGCTAGGGAAGTGTTCTATCACTGAGCTACATCCCCTCTTTTATGTATGTGTGTGTATATATATATATATATATATATATAGAGAGAGAGAGAGAGAGAGAGAGAGAGAGAGTAATTTTGAAGGAAAAAAGGGAGTTGAACAGCTTCTACAATTTCAAGCTATAATCTTATATAATATATAATAATCTTATAGTATACTATTTATACTATCCCATGAACTATTTTCCTACAATAAAGAAAGCATAAGCTAAAAGTTTCCAATCTAAAAAGTAAAAGGTAACTCAGGTTTAATAGTAAATATCATCCAAGAATCAATGTCCTACAAATTCAGAAAACCCTCAGGTAGAAATTAAGTACCAATTTCCTCTAGAAATTCCATGTTTGCTCCTGCCCCCTTTCAAAACACAAACCATAACTCTTCCTTCTCTATAGTATATTCATTCATTTCTGAGTTTGACTTTGGCTTTCTTCTTTCTTAACTGACTCTCCCTTAAGCATCATTAAGGCTTTTTTAGTGTAAAGCAAAAGGCAAAACCAAAATAGCCCCAAGCCCTCTGTATCTACTGTAACCTTGTGCATAATCCTTAATTCACAGTTCTCACCCAAGTCATTTAAAATATCTCAGCTTAGAAAATCCTAAAGATGTAAGCAGTAGCTGGGCCCAGTGGTGCATACCTGTAATCCCAGCAGCTTGGGAGGCTGAGGCAGGAGGATCAAAAGTTCAAAGCCAGCCTCAGCAAATGAGCAAGGTCCCAAACAACTCAACATGACCCTGTCTCTAAATAAAATACAAAAAAAAAGGACTGGGGATATGTTTCAGTGGTTGAGTGCCCCTGGATTTAATCTCCAGTATCAAAACAAACAAACAAACAAACAAACAAACAAAAAAAAAAAAAAACAAAAACTTATAAGCAGTAATCAAGCATTCAACCTGGCAGACTTCCTGAAGATTCTATGTGATATCCAATTGGCATGTTTTGGAAAGTAGGTAGAACAGCCAATGGAAAACACAACAAAATTTTAGTATAAATTTCAGGCAATCCTATTAAACAGTATTTTTATTAACAAGTCAATAAGAAGGAATCTATAAGACATGTTCTGAAGCAACAACCTCTTACTCATATTTTCTTAAGTTCACATTTTAGATAAATAAAGCTAAGTAGGATATTTATAAAATTCATTAAGCAAGAAATTCCAACTTGTTAAAAAAAAATGAGGTTAAAAGAAAGTGACATGCTTTAGTAACTAGGAAGCTAAGATCCCAATCCTTTATATACACATTGCTTTTAAGTAAATGTTACTCCTTGATGTGATTTTTTACAATTAGAAAAAGATTAGAGGGAAAAATACAGACTATATGGCTAATTCAAAGGGCACTAACATATTGATTATAGCAGTACTAACATCAATTATTTAAAAGGTAATTTTAACTGTACTTTTGACAAGATACATTTTCAGCATTTTGTTCCAAAATCCCTCTTGCCAACAGATTGATTATTAATCTTTCCCTTCTTCTGTCAGCTCATTCACTCTCAACTCTAAATACTTAAAGAGGAAAATAGGCCCCGTGTTCTCCTGCAGCTTAATGTGTCCTCTCCCTTTGCCAGAAAAGCCGTATCTTCCAGGTAACCTAGGTTCCACCTCATTACTCAACTGACACTGGGCCCTGAAGTCATCAAAGACTTAACTACCAGCCCCTGAAGGCCCTCTGCTAAGCTCACCTTTGCTCATCATTGTGCAACATCTTTTCCCATCCTTCCTTCTGGACACTCATTCTCTTTCATGCCTTCCAAGATGACCTTTGTTGAGGGTGGAGGTAGGAGCACTTGGTTTTGTTTAGTAACAGCTCTTCTTTTTACATCTATTCCTAATTGCTCACTCACATAGTGGAATACCTGGCTCTCTTTTCTGCTCACCGTGCTCTCTGAAAGAGGTGGTCTTTTTCCACCATTGTTTTAACTACTGGCTTTATTTAAGACTATTAAATCTATATATTAAAACTGACTTTCGGGGCTTTGCACACCTATTTCCAACTTTCCTTTGAATATATATACTGGGACAGTCAACAAATAACTCAAATTTAACATATGCCAAAAAAAGAATTATACACACACACACACATCTTTTCATCTGCTCCTTCTATTCTTTACCACAATTAATAGTGACATCATCCTTTTAGTCACCCCCACTAGGACTGTTAATTTCAATTTGTTTTCTGGCCAATCACCATCCAGTCCTTCAAATCCTATCTCTTCTACCTTCTAAGTACCTTCAAACTCCATTCACCCCTCCAGTCTCTACTTCACTGCTTTAACTCAGGCCTCAAGCAGGCCACTGTGGGTTTCTTAGCTGGCCTCCAGTCCATCTCCTATGCCACCACCAGAGCTATTTTTAAAAATCCATGTTCCCTACCTGCTGACAAAATCCTTTAATGATCACCACTGCCACAAAATCCAAACTGCTGATCGAGGAGCACAAGGCTCTTAATAACCTCCCTATTTACCTTCACCGCCACCTTCCCCTTAGAGAAATAGAACTATCTGTGGATCCTTAAACACGTGACATGTCATCATACTGTCATGCTTTTGTGTATGCTACCTGTTTTGCACAACATGCCCTCATTACATTATGCACCCCTCTTTTCCTTCAGAACTCTGTGCAAATGTTAATTCCTCAGAGAAGCCTCTTTTCCTCTTATTCCTGTGGTCTTTTCCCATCATTGTTTTAACTACTGGCTTTATTATCTCTCTACTCCTCTCTCCTCTAAAGGAGTCCTTGAAGTAGTGGACCTATGTTATCTTTAGCTCATGCTTCATAGTTAGTACTCAGTAAACATTTGTTTCTTTGGGGGGGGGGAGAGTAAATTCAACTTATACATCCTTAGTGAAGATACAGAATCTGTATATATTCTTTATGTAGATGGGCCATATTAAACTCTCCCCCACAAAAGAAAGCAAAGTTGATTATGCTGTAAAAAACTAAGTTATCAGTGCTCACAGCTTTGAAAGATAAATCTTTCTGCATTTATGACTTGTATCCACTTTTAAGTCCAAAAAAATTTACTGAACATAAATAGAGCCTATCCTAGATAAATCTGGCAAGTAGTAGAAGTTTCTCTTGTTTTGGAAAGCTTTCTCACTGCTCAGCTCCTTCCTTTCTTAGAAATGGCATAGGCTTCAGGTCTTCAATTCCATACATCAAAACACCAATGCAGTTTTCATCAGTTATAACACTCAGAATACTAAAGGATTCACTGAGGCAGGCCTTTACATGTTAAACTTCATATTTCTAATTTCAGAACAAAATATTCTTTTTTCGCTATTTAAAGGAATTCCAAACACCAAAACAAAACAAAACCAAAAACAGGCAGTTTCTATCATGCAGAGGATCTCTTGATTATCAAGAATACAAGTAACAATAAATGTTGGCAAGGATGTGGGGGAAAAGATACACTCATACATTGCTAGCGTGAAAAGCAGTATGGAGATTCCTCAGAAAACATGGAATGGAATTAGAATTTGACGGAGTAATCCTACTCCCTGGCATATACCCAAAGGACTTAAAATCAGCCTATTATCGTCACATGGCCACATCAATGTTTATAGCAGCTCAATTCACAATATCTAAGCTATGGAACTAACCTAGGTGCCTTCAGATGAATGAATAAAGAAAATATGATACACACACACACACAATGAAATATTATTCAGGAATAAAAACATTTGTTTTTATGAACATATGGCATTTGCCTGTGAAAGGATGGAAATGGAGACTATCATGTGAAGTGAAATAAGCCAATCCCAAAAAACCAAAGGCCTGATATGCAAATACTAACACACAGTGGTGGGAGGATAGAAGTTCAGTGAGTTAAACAAATGAGAATGAAGGGAAGGGAGTGGGGTTGGGTATAGGAAAGACAGTAGAATGAATTGTATGTAAGTTTCCTATAGGCTCAATATGAATACATGACCAGTGTAACTCCACATCATGTATAACCACAAGAATGAGAAGTTATACTACATGTACGTATGATAAGTTATACTACATGTATGTATGATGTTAAAATGCATTTTATGTATTTTAACTACTGTCACATATAACTAAAAAGAATAATTTAAAAAACTCAAGACAAAACAGGCCCCAATATAGATTGGGTTAGTTAAGGATGTTTTGTGAAGTGAATCAAAATGGACAGTCCATAGGTTCACATATTCACCTCACCTAGGAGTGGGCCTTCCATACCTCTCCGGGGAAGACTTTGCTTCAATAGCTGCCTGTTGCATTCTTCAGTTATGAGGGAGTCAGAGAAACTTGTGTCCAACTGTCATCAACTTCATCCAAAACTAGAATATTCTGTCCTCTCCTTCCTCAGCACAAATCAGGAAAATGTTATTCTTTTATTAAATAGAGCAAATGAAGCCCTCTGTGGTTAGATTTATTTGGGACTGGCCAATTACCTTTTCACTTAGCTTTCTTTTCATTTGCTACAAACATGACTGGTTCATCTTTCTTCTCTCACCTGAAATAATCTCTGAAATGCAGGATTTGGGATCTTGGTGGTTGGAAACAAGTCTTCAATGGTGTCTTCCTCCTTGTCTTCCTTTACCAAGCTCATAGAGTCGATTAAAGCATCAACAGCACTCAACTGTGCCTCTTAAGACAAGGATAAACAGAGAAGCAGAAAGGAAAAAAAAGGATTATTCACATTATTCTCCACTAAAACAAAAGCTTTCTATTTTATAAGTACAGCAATACTAGCAGGTTATATACTCCTGGTTCTGCCAAAAATATTCTGTATGTATGCAAGTACTTAATCTGAGTCTTGTTTTTTTAATCTGTGAAAGAGCTTTTTAGAGTAGTTGACCTCTTAGGTTCTTTTCAGCTCCTCCATTTGATGAACTTTGACAATGGAGTATCATATCAAAAGCAAAAGAGTCTACTCCAGAAAAAACGAACAACAGCCACAGGAAAACCCGACTTCTCCATGGAAATTTGAACCAAATATTCATCATTCAATGAGCTACTTGAAAAGAGAAAAGTATTCTGAGCTTTTAGAAGGAAAAGTTAGAATCCAGCCCCCCTCTTTTTTTCTTTTTCTTTTTTTCCTGGAATAAGGTTAGTTTTAAAAAAAATAAGGAAAGGCTTAATAAAAAGCAGATTCTTCTTTTATGCTTTTCCAGGCCTTTCTCTTGTATTTCATGTGAATGAGACTTTTTTAAAATATAAAAATAGCAGGACAGCTTAGACAAACTATATAATAATGTAATCAGTACTAGGGAAAAAGTGTTCCAGGATCACACTTGTCATACAGGTAGCATCGAGGTAAGATGAAGAAGTTACACTACAAATTTATTCAAGAGGAACAAAAGTACAGAAAAATATAAAATGTAGATTTCTGAATCTTAAGCCAGAGGAAATGCAAGGTGAAGACTGGATTAAATTGTAGATTTATACTGAGGAAGGGGAGTGAAAGAGAGAGGCAGGAATATGCTAGTCCTGGATGAAGTTGATGACAGTAGGACACAGGTTTCTCTGACTCCCTCAAAACTGAAGAACATCATAGGCAGCTTTTTTTTTTTTTTTTAATTTTTTATTGTGGGTTGTTCAAAACATTACAAATTTCTTGACATATCATATTCCACACTTTGATTCTAGTGGGTTATGAACTCCCACCTTCACCCCATACACAGATTGCAGATTCACATCAGTTACACATCCATTGATTTACAAATTGCCATACTAGTGTCTGTTGTGCTCCGCTGCCTTTCCCATCATCCACCCTCCCCCCTCCCCACCTCTCCCCTCCCCTCCCCTCCTCTCTCTCTACCCCCTCCACTGTATAACCCTGAGGGTCTCCTTCCATTACCGTGCAATTTACCTTCTCTCTCCCTTTCCCTCCCACCTCTCATCCCTGTTAAATGTTAATCTTCTTCTCCTGTTCTTCGTCCCTACTCTGTTCTTAGTTACTTTCCTTATATCAAAGAAGACATTTGGCATTTGTTTTTTAGGGATTGGCTAGCTTCACTTAGCATAATCTGCTCTAATGCCATCCATTTCCCTGTAAATTCTATGATTTTGTCATTTTTTAATGCAGAGTAATACTCCATTGTGTATAAATGCCACATTTTTTTTATCCATTCGTCTATTGAAGGGCATCTAGGTTGGTTCCACAGTCTTGCTATTGTGAACTGTGCTGCTATGAACATCGATGTAGCAGTGTCCCTGTAGCATGCTCTTTTTAGGTCTTTAGGGAATAGACCAAGAAGGGGAATAGCTGGGTCAAATGGTGGCTCCATTCCCAGCTTTCCAAGAAATCTCCATACTGCTTTCCAAATTGGCTGCACCAATCTGCAGTCCCACCAGCAATGTACAAGTGTACCCTTTTCCCCACATCCTCGCCAGCACTTGTTGTTGTTTGACTTCCTAATGGCTGCCAATCTTACTGGAGTGAGATGGTATCTTAGGGTGGTTTTGATTTGCATTTCTCTGACAGCTAGAGATGTTGAGCATTTTTTCATGTACTTGTTGATTGACTGTATGTCCTCCTCTGTGAAGTGTCTGTTCAGGTCCTTGGCCCATTTGTTGATTGGGTTGTTTGTTCTCTTATTGTCTAATTTTTTGAGTTCTTTGTATACTCTGGATATTAGGGCTCTATCTGAAGTGTGAGGAGTAAAGATTTGTTCCCAGGATGTAGGCTCCCTATTTACCTCTCTTATTGTTTCTTTTGCTGAGAAAAAACTTCTTAGTTTGAGTAAGTCCCATTTGTTGATTCTAGTTATTAACTTTTGTGCTATGGGTGTCCTATTGAGGAATTTGGAGCCCGACCCCACTGACTGTAGATCGTAGCCAACTTTTTCTTCTATCAGACGGCGCGTCTCTGATTTGATATCAAGTTCCTTGATCCATTTTGAATTCACTTTTGTGCATGGCGAGAGAAAGGGATTCAGTTTCATTTTGTTGCATATGGATTTCCAGTTTTCCCAGCACCATTTGTTGAAGATGCTATCCTTCCTCCATTGCATGCTTTTAGCCCCTTTATCAAATATAAGATAGTTGTAGTTTTGTGGATTGGTTTCTGTGTCCTCTATTCTGTACCATTGGTCCACACGCCTGTTTTGGTACCAGTACCATGCTGTTTTTGTTACTATTGCTCTGTAGTATAGTTTGAAGTCTGGTATCGCTATACCGCCTGATTCACACTTCTTGCTTAGCATTGTTTTTGCTATTCTGGGTCTTTTATTTTTCCATATGAATTTCATGATTGCTTTCTCTATTTCTACAAGAAATACCATTGGGATTTTGATTGGCATTGCATTAAACCTATAGAGAACTTTTGGTAATATCGCCATTTTGATGATGTTAGTTCTGCCTATCCATGAACAGGGTATATTTTTCCATCTTCTAAGATCTTCTTCTATTTCTCTCTTTAGGGTTCTGTAGTTTTCATTGTATAAGTCTTTCACCTCTTTTGTTAGGTTGATTCCCAAGTATTTTATTTTTTTTGAAGATATTTTGAATGGAGTGGTTGTCCTCATTTCCATTTCAGAGGATTTGTCGCTGATATACAGGAATGCCTTTGATTTATGCGTGTTGATTTTAAATCCTGCCACTTTGCTGAATTCATTTATTAGCTCTAATAGTTTCTTTGTAGAGCCTTTTGGGTCTGCTAGATATAGAATCATATCATCTGCAAATAGTGATAATTTAATTTCTTCTTTTCCTATTTTTATGCCTTTAATTTCTTTCGTCTGTCTAATTGCTCTGGCCAGTGTTTCGAGAACTATGTTGAAGAGAAGTGGAGAGAGAGGGCATCCCTGTCTTGTTCCAGATTTTAGAGGGAATGCCTTCAGTTTTTCTCCATTCAGAATAATGCTAGCCTGAGGCTTAGCATAGATTGCTTTTACAATATTGAGGTATGTTCCTGTTATCCCTAGTTTTTCTAGAGTTTTGAACATAAAGGGATGCTGTACTTTGTCAAATGCTTTTTCCGCATCTATCGAGATGATCATATGGTTCTTATTTTCAAGTCTATTGATGTGGTGAATAACATTTATTGATTTCCGTATATTGAACCAGCCTTGCATCCCAGGGATGAATCCTACTTGATCATGGTGTACAATTTTTTTTATATGTTTTTGTATCCGATTCGCCAGAATTTTATTGAGGATTTTTGCATCTAGGTTCATTAGAGATATTGGTCTGTAGTTTTCTTTCTTTGAAGTGTCTTTGTCTGGTTTAGGTATCAGGGTGATGTTGGCCTCATAGAATGAATTTGGAAGTTCTCCCTCCTTTTCTATTTCCTGAAGTAGCTTGAAAAGTATTGGTATTAGTTCTTCTTTAAAGGTTTTGTAAAATTCTGCTGTATACCCATCGGGACCTGGGCTTTTCTTAGTTGGTAGTCTTTTGATGGTTTCTTCTATCTCCTCAATTGATATTGGTCTGTTTAGGTTTTCTATATCCTCCTGACTCAATCTGGGCAGATCATATGACTTAAGAAATTTATCTATGCCTTCACTATCTTCTAATTTATTGGAGTATAAGGATTCAAAATAGTTTTTGATTATCTTCTGTATTTCTGAAGTGTCTGTTGTGATATTGCCTTTTTCATCCCGTATGCTAGTAATTTGAGTTCTCTCTCTTCTTCTCTTCACTAGCATCGCTAAGGGTCTGTCGATTTTGTTTATTTTTTCAAAGAACCAACTTTTAGTTTTGTCAATTTTTTCAATTGTTTCTTTTGTTTCGATTTCATTAATTTCAGCTCTGATTTTAATTATTTCTTGCCTTCTACTTCTTTTGCTGTTGTTTTGCTCTTCTTTTTCAAGGATTTTGAGATGAAGTATGAGATCATTTATTTGTTGGTTTTTTCTTTTTTTAAGGAATGAACTCCAAGCAATGAATTTTCCTCTTAGAACTGCTTTCAATGTGTCCCATAGATTCCGATATGTTGTGTCTGTGTTTTCATTTATCTCTAAGAATTTTTTAATTTCCTCCTTGATGTCTTCTATAACCCATTGATCATTCAGTAACCTATTGTTCATTCTCCAATTGATGTATGCTTTTTCCTTCCTTCTTTTATCGTTGATTTTCAGTTTCATTCCATTATGATCAGATAAGATGCATGGTAATATCTCTACTCCTTTATATTGTCTAAGAGTTGCCCTGTGACATAATATATGATCTATTTTTGAGAAGGATCCATGTGCTGCTGAGAAAAAAGTGTAACTGCTTGATGTTGGGTGGTATACTCTATATATGTCAATTAGGTCTAGGTTATTAATAGTGTTATTGAGTTCTACAGTTTCCTTATTCAACTTTTGTTTGGAAGATCTGTCCAGTGGCGAGAGAGGTGTGTTGAAGTCTCCCATGATTATGGTGTGGTGGTCTATTAGACTCTTGAACTTGAGAAGAGTTTGTTTGACGAACATAGCTGCACCATTGTTTGGGGCATAAATATTTATGATTGTTATGTCTTGTTGGTGTATGGTTCCCTTAAGCAGTATGTAGTGTCCCTCTTTATCTCTTTTGATTAACTTTGGCTTGAAATCTATTTTATTTGATATGAGTATGGACACGCCTGCTTGTTTCCGAAGTCCATATGAGTGATATGATTTTTCCCAACCTTTCACCTTCAGCCTATGTATGTCTTTTCCTAT